TTCTGGAGCTGAAAAATTATAACCAAAATGAAAATCTCACTGGAAAGTTTCAATAATAGGTTTGATCAGACAGAAGAAAGAATCATAGAACTAGCAAATAGGTCCATAGAAATTAACAAGTATGAAGAACAGAAAGAAAAAAGAATGAAGATCAATAAACAGAGTCTTAGGGACTCTAGGGCACCATCAAGTGTATGAAAATACACACAACGCGGTCCCAGAAAAAAAGAGAGGAAAGAGTAGAAAGAATATTTAAAGAAATAATGGTCAAAAACTCTACAAATTTGATTCAAGACAAGAATCTATACATCCAGGAAGCTCAAGAAACTACAATAAGGATAAATACAAAGAGAAATACACTGGGACAGATAATCTAATTGTCAAAAGCCAAAGTCAAAGAAAGAATCTTGAAAGCAACAAGAGTGTTTTGACATGTACAAGGGATCTACAATACAATTATCAGCCAGTTTTTCACTAGAAACCAGGAAGGCCAGAAAGGAATGGTATGACATTTTTCAAATGCTGAAAGAAAAGCAATCTGTCAACCAAAATTTTGTATCCAACAAAAATATCCTTCAAAAGCAAAGGACAAATTCAGAAGTTTCCAGATAAACAAAAGCTGAGAGCATTTGCTGTCAGTACACCTGCCTCGTAAATAATGCTAAAGAGAGTTCTTCAGGAACAAGACAAAGAAGAATGCTTTAATCACTACTATACAATATTGCACTGGAAGTTCTATCCAGAGCAATTAGGCAAAAAAGGAAAGAACAGGCATCCAAATTGGAAAAGGAAGAAATAAAACTATTTGCAGATGGCATAATTCTATTAATATATATAGAAAATCTCAAAGAATCCACAAGAAAGCTACTAGATCACATAAACAAATTCAGGAAAAGTTATAAGCTGTAAGATGCACACAAAATATCAGTTTTAGTTTTGTACTCTGACAATGAACAATTAAGAAGTTGTATTTCTGTACACCAGTTGAGGATATTAAGAAGATAATTCCATTTACACTAACATCCAACAGAAGGAATGGGCAAAATATGTGAACAGATAGTTCACTGAAAC